CCTGCCCTTGGCCAAGCAAATAGTCACAGGATATGGCTGATTAGAAACTTTCATAGCCTTCCATTATCAATAACATTTTAATGAAACCCATTAGTTTGTTGATTCTATTAATCTGTATCAATACATGGCCTGGCAAGATTAAGCCAGTCAACATTACAGCACAGAAGGGGAAGAGAGGCTCAGGAAGGCTCCAATCCCATTGGAGGAGCTAATGGCAGTTGATGGCTGCTGTGGGAGGGAGAGCCAATTTTCTTTAGGGTCGTGGCCCCTCGTAGGTTACTATTGCTATGATGAAGCAGCATGACCACAAGCAAGTTGGGGAGGAAAGGGTTTATTTGGCTTAATCTTCCATATCACAATTTTTCATCAAAGGAAATCAGGACAGGAACTCATTCAGGGCAGGAACCCGGAGGCAGGAGCTGATGCAGAGTGTATGGAGGAGTGCTGCTTATTGGCTTGCTCCTCATGGCTTGCTCAGTCTGCTTTCTTATAGAACCCAAGACTACCAGCCCAGGATGGCACTAATTAGTAAAATGCTATACAGGCTTACCTACATCCCAGTCTTATGGAAACATTTTCCTCAATTGAGGTTTCCTCCTCTCAAATGACTATAGCTTGTGTCAAGCTGACATAAACTAACCAAACAATCTACAGATAAATGTATTTCACCAAATCTTATAATTCCCCACTAAAATAAACCTATAAACAGTAATAGGCTCCATATCTTGTGATCTATGTTTCTCTAGAGTTGTAAATGATGTACATTCATATGACATGGCAATTTCCAACATAAAAAAAAAAAAAGAAAGAAAGAGGCAAATGACTTGCTCAGGGTCAGAGCTAGAAAACTGGAGGCCATTGTCACAGTTCAGACTGCAATTCAAGATCCTTGCTCTCTGCATTGCCAGACACACTTCAGGCTTGGCTGTTTCCTGTTGCAGTCACAGATTTTCTCATGGAAGCAATGTCTCGGCTGAGCCTTACAGAAGGCACTCGTTTATTTACACAGGGTTAATAAAGACACAAGCTATGGAGACTGCTTGAGGACCTAAGACACAGCCTAATGCAATGGCAGCAGAGTGGGGGTCACAAGGAGAGGTGACAGGAGGGGGGGCATGCAGATGGTATGTCCTCTAATAATTGTGAGAGGTTCCAGGGCTCTATGTCTAGGTTTCTTTTGTAAAACAGACCAAACATCACCCTAAACTAACTGTAGAACTATGTACTGACTCTGTATCCTGGACCCTTTTGTCCCCTGTTTCCATAATGCTTCCATTCTTCTGCCCATGCCTCCAGTCTCCATGCATATTGTGATATCTGAGGAACCAAGGCAGCACGCCTTGCTTTCTGGATGCTGAGAACATGCTCAACAACAGGCTGTATTTCACCTTGGTCAGAATCCCTCTGTGTTGAAGGACAAGCCTGTGTGATTCACTCTACTTTTGTTTCTTGGGTCCACTTGGGCAGCTCTTGAAGGCTGGCTGGGATTTAAGAAGAAAAACAAAATGTGTGTCCTTCTTTAGTTTCCCAAGAACGTAGAGGGCCTTGGGAATATATGCCATCTTGCTGTAAGATCTCTTTGTAAGCCTTTTTGGGCATTTTGGAGCACAGACTCCCTGGTAAGCTTAGCGGCTCTGCCTTCCCTTACACCCAGTGTTTCCCAAAACTGCCTTTCTAAGAGCTTAGGGTTGGGAATATTGAGCACTTGTTCAACTATGAATAAAGTGGTACCCTGTTCTCCCATTGGTTGTGTTCTTTATGTCTATAAACTCCTTGGTTGTAGATGCTAAGGAAGAGGAAAAGGAGAAGGGACAAGATGGGGAGAGAGGAACAAGAGTAGTAGGATCAGGAAAAAGAGAGGAGACATGTCTAGTTAGGTTCCTATTGCTGTAATAAATGCCCTGATCAAAAGCAACTTGGAAGGAAAGGGTTTATTTCATCTTAACGGTTCATAGTCCATCATCCATGAAAGGTGGAGCAGGAGTCCTGGAGGCAGGAACTGAAGTGGAGGCCATGGACTAATGAATACTGCTTACATGGTTTGTTCAGTCTGCTTTCTTATAGCACCCAGGACAACTACTCAATGGGTGACACTACCCATAGAGAGTGGGGCTCTCCCACATTCATCATTAATCAAGAAGACTCATCACAGGCTTGCCACAGGCCAATTTGGTGGTGTCATTTTCTCAACTGAGGTTCCCTCTTGTGAAAGAACTCTAGCTCATCTACTGTCATGTTGGCACAAAACTAGCCAGCACAAGAAGGAGAGGTGGGTTGGGGTACAGGGCAGGAGGGTAAAGGGGGACTTTCAACCCCAGATGTTTGGATAACTGACGTCTCCAGAGGTTAGGAAGGCAGAAAGGCAAAACTTCCTGGCTTTGTGTGTTTCAGTCCCATATTCCAAATGAAGAAAATCTTTCAAAATTCCATTTAACCCTTCATGCCATTCCTGAACACTTGCTATTACAGGAAGACATTGCTCCAGACATTGAATGAAGTTGGGTTTGAAAAAGGAAGGTAAAACAGTTTCCTTCTGGTTCATTTCCCAAATAATTAAAGTGAAGCATAGTTTGTCATTGGGGCTTAGTAGACTTCACCGACTTCCAGTTTACTGCAAACTCTACAAAATATCAAATGACAAATTGACTCATAGGAGCTCTTGCAAGGGAGAACTGGGTGTCTTCCAGCGGGTTATATAAGACAATAGCATTTATAAAAATGAGCTTCTTTGGTAGTTTTCCTTGGTTCTCAAAGCTTTAGTCACCCCTCTCACCTCTGGCAACTTTAAAACTCATGCCGAGACATCACAAACCCACCATATGCCTGTTTAAGCAAAGGCTGGTCTTCCTTACAGCCTTGATCCCACAGAGAGCCCTGCTCTTTTCAGATCTCTTTGGAGAAAACAAAAGACAAATTTTCAAAAGAATCACAAGCAAAGAAACAAGTAAGGGAATTCCAGAAGCCCAGGGCTTTAGTGTTAGATCTGAGAAAACATAATTTCGATTGTTTGATTTACGTCCATCCGAGAGCATAATCCGTAAAAACAGCAGGATCCAGGGAGCGCCTTTGACAATGTTCTTTCTCAGTAGCGTCTTTGCTGCCTTCTGGGCATATAATGCTGCTAGACAAAATGAACACTCCATTTATTATTACAGAAACTATAAACTCCTGTAAGCCTATCACTCACTTGTGATGTTAGCTTGAGTGGTTTTTATGGTGTTTTCCTGAGTACCTCTGGTGGTCTGGTGACTGTAGCACAATCAAGTTTTCAAAAGACACTGAGGCAGAAGATTTACAAGGGCTGTGAGAGAGTCAGTCACAGGCAAGAAGATGACAGTGAATTGACTGCTGAGTTTTGACAATGCCCCCCACAAGATACAACCTACCACCTCTTTGTTCCCCATTCTAATGCTTCCCAGAATCCAAGGCTCTTGGGGAAATAAAGAAAAGAAGATGAACATTTGTATGCAATTGCATAACTTTTACATATGTGGGTTAGGTTTATACATTTAGGAGGTAAGACAGAAGGTAAAGATAGCTAGGTTACTGTCTGCCCAGCCACCACTGCCTATCTTCATGAGCAAGCAAGGACCTGGTACTTGTAACTTTTTTCATCTAGCTCTGGGAAGGGCTGTAATTAGTGCTGATTCCTGTAGAAGAGCCCTTTCTTCTTGGACACCAGTGGACTCACCATCTGTAATGTCTAAGTGAGTCTTTTCTTAGTCCATCTGGCTCCTCACCCATTTCACCTGATTCTTCATTGTCCCTGATTGGAAGGGACCAGTGCACTTACTCAGCAATGACTCAGGCTTACATGAAGCTCCCTCAAAGCTGTGTGTTTAAGCCCATAATTGGCTTTCTTTTCTTTGGCCCACATGCTTCCGTGACTAGGCTCTTATGCTGTCCTCTGAGAGATTTTTTTTTCTTGACTTGTCTGTGGTTCCTCCCCGGTTGCATTTTTCTATTATTGACTTCATTTTTCTCCTTTCCTTACATGCAGTGCCCTTTATACTGTGTGTGCCAATTGCTCGCCCACTCCAAACTGTCTATGTAGGTGAGGGGGGGGCTATGAACTCATGATCATTCTATTTCTGCCTCCCAAGTTCTCATATTATAGGTGTGCAGCACCATATCCAGATATTGGATTTTATGCTTTTCTTTTTCAGAGAGAGAGTATGTGTGTGTATATGTATGTGTGTGCATGCCCTTGTGTCACTGTGTGTCTGTATGTTTGTGCAAGTACACTTGTACATGTAGGTGCTGGTGCAAAATGTGTGCAGAGGCCAGAGGACAGCCTTGGGTGCCATTTTAGGAACAACATCTAGTTCCTTTGAGACACGGTCTCTTATTAGCTCATAGCCCATCATTTAGGCTACTTGGGCTGACCAACAAGCTTCAGGGGCCCTCCTCCTCCACCTTTCCAGTTCCAGTGTTGGAACCACAAGTGTGTAACACACCATGCCTGGCATTTTTTTACATGGGTTCAGGATGTTCATGTTTGGTGAGGACAATGCTAGCAAGACAAGACTTTATCAATGGAGCCTCACTTACCACAAGTCAGCCCCTGCCAAAGTCCAGGTGCCAGGAACTTTATGCTTTGTACATTGTCCTGTTTTCCTTTGAGAATGAACACTCAGCTTTTTAAAAGTTTTTAATTAATAATTAGTTTATTGTATTTTATGGATATTGGTGTTTTCCCTGCATGTATGTCTGTGTAGGGGTATCAGATCCCCTGGAACAGGAGTTACAGACATTTGTGAGCTGCCCTATTGGTGCTGGGAATTGAACTCAGGTCCTCTGGAAGAGCAGCCAGTGCTCTTATCTGCTGAACTATGTAACGATAACTCTTTCTGCCAAACCACCACGTGGGTGCCCAAAATAACACAGAGATACTTATATTAGGTACAATGCTGCTGGCCAATGACTAGGATTTCTTACTTGCTAACTCAGTCTTAATTATCAACCATAATTATTAATCTATATATTTTATAAAGACTTACTGATCAAGGATGCAGGCGGCATGTGTCCACTCTTGTCGGGCTCACAAGGCAGTTCCCAGAGAAGAGAGAAGGAGGAAGAGGAAGACAGTGATTTCCTGCTTGTCCTTGCTTATATTCTGAGTCTGCCTGCTATGCCACTTCCTTCCTGGATCACAAGACTTCTCTTTATGTTTCCTAGAATCCTCCTCGACTCCTAGTCCCGCCTAACTTGCTTGCTATTGGCCAACAGTATTTTATTTGTCAACCAATAAGACAAACATACACAGAAGAACCTCCCCTGTCAGAACTATCATCTCTCCAGCCCTGAACACTCAGGTTTTAAGAGCTCACCTACAGCTTACATATCTGTGTGTCATTGATTTCCCTTAGCCTGACTTGCTTATTCTGAGATGTGGACTCATCCTGACACTGTGGATCTAATTGAATACTCCATGTTTCTCTTCCCACTCCAGTTCATTTAAATTCCATGGAAACTCTGGTTCCAGAAAACTGAAGCTGACAATGGAAAAGAAAGCTTGAAAACTTATTAGTTGGGAATCTTTTTACAGAGGTGTATTAAATGCATGTCTGCCTCCTCAGAAATTAATATTGCTCCTTGTGGATTTAGCAAACTATATAAGCATTTTCTTGATGTTCATAAATCTTATATTTGCCACTTTTGCATAATGACACTGGTAGATAAGTCTTGAGACCTCTCTTGAACTGATACATCATTGACTTACCACTAAAACCTGTGTGTATTTTTGGTTCTCTAATTTGCTAATAGCCTATGCTAAGAGCATAGGATTTTAACTCAGTCATAACAGGGTTCATCCATCTCAGCGCTCAGCTATGAATAGTTAGTTACCTTTAACAGCATGTAGTGAGAACATACAAGTGTCCTTAACAAGCTATAAAAATAACTATATCCCAGAGTGCTAGTCTCAATTTATGTCCCCATTAGTGATAAATTTGTTCATGTCTTTTATGAGTCTATTTGTGTTTCCCAAGAAAATTTTTACTGCTGTACATGATGGTTGCTCTCTCTGTATCAAAATGGCAGAGAAGAGTCGCCAATGAGAGTGATGTAACAAGAGAGAATTATATTCTTTATGCTAATAACAAATGCATACTTTGGTCTACAAAATCAGATGTAGATATAATTTGATAGTGTTGCTATTTGTTATATGACACAGTAGAAGACATATATAAATTTCAAAGTAGACAGATCTAGGTTTAAACTGAAGCTCTGTACTTCTATCTTTGGGTCTCTCTTCAAAACCTAAAGAAACTTCAACCTTTCCATAGATGAAAAATGATAATATTTATTCTGAATATCAGAATTAAAAGTAACATTAAAAAGCCTTTGGTACTTACCATATGCTCAGTATATGGCACAAGTGATGGTGATGTTAATTCGATGTATCTCATTTGGAAATGTGCTTTCAATTAAGGAAAACCTGGAAGGAAGGAACTAATGAATCTATAGTTTTGTTTTGTCTTGGTGATCTGTAGCATATCTCTCATAGGGGACATGGTCTCAACCAACCTCTGGTGTCTAATTCAGTAGCCACTAGCCACATGAGTCTATTTATATTTAAAATTAAAAATTAAAAATTGTTACTCACTTGTGCTACCCACAATTTGAATGCCAATAGGCATACTAGATAAAACAGATTTTTCATAATTATAGAGATTTTTGTTGGGCATTTCTAGACTTGATGTAGAGAGAGTCTTCTGGTTTGGTTACTATGATCATAAAGAGCAGCCTCTACAAGTGACAAATAATGATTTCTATTCCCCAGAAATTTCTCTGTCCCAGATATTTTTTCCATAGCAGTCTGGATTAAGATAGGGATCTATTTGACATGTGAGTGGCCACCTGTCCTCTTCTATCCTAGGCTAATTATGTTCTCTCTGCACTAACTGAGTAGGTTGAACTATGAAATATCTCTCAGACGGGTCATATTTTGGGAGAGGGACAAGTTTGGTGGGCATGCATAGTGCATTGGTTAAGAAGTGCTGTATTTATCCAGAACATTATATGTAGCACACAGTGCTAGGGTGGCTTATATAATACGAGCATGGAATGGTTGAACAACATAGCTCTGAAGCTTTAACTGATAGGCAGGCCACTAAGAAACATTTAACTGGGAGTATACTGGTGTTGATTGACATAAAGCAATAGAAGGGACTTAAGTGTGCAAGTCCAATCAGGAAATTACTTTCCTGGCTAAAGTTGCTAAGTTTCCAATGTTTCTATTATTGATAGAAAGCAGAATGCAGACATTCAAGCTATATAAACACTAGGTCATATAATGAGAGGAGAGGCTACCATTATGGTGCCGGCATTAGCAGGGTTCCACAGGGAAAGCAGCCTCTTAGAATGCAGCAGATGAAGACTGTATCAAAACGCAGTACTTTGAACATGTATCATGAAAGAGACTATTTTGCTCCGCATTTAATACATAAGTATGACATCCTTATATAAAACAGCTCAGAACTAAAACCACACATAAAGAAGATACATAAAAAGATCAATAGCACTTGACTACTTGAGCCAAGAGGAGAATTCTGACCTGTGTGGCCTGGAACAGAAAGAGTTCTAAGTCACACCAAAGAAAGCCAGCTGGCAAGGCAACACTCACCAGGATAGCAAGGTTCCGAGTTGGTACCAGAATTCTCTCGTTCTGCGTTAAAGATCAATCTATTAAATTATTAATTGAACTCAAGGAGTAAATTGTACTTCATTCATTATCTGTAACTTGAATTAGTACTTTTTAAGCGTTTAATATTTTTAAAGTCCTTACTAAAATTTATCTGCCACAGATAGATGAATGGATCTTGTTTCCATCATTCTGAGTTGGCTAGACTTGGATTTGTGTGCCCTAAATTACAACGTGAGGAGAAGGCACCATACCAAACGTCTCTGAGCCGGGCTTGCAGGCAGGAGAGGGATGGAGAGTTGCAATACAACACTGACTACTATGAGTTACTACTTGAAGGATGGAGACACAGAGGAAGACTCATCCTAGCCTTGCATTCCCGTTTTCCACCTGGAAGGTCGCTACAATTCTAAACGGAGCCCCGTAGATGGGAAGTCACTTTAACCAAGCTGCAGACTCAGAAAAAGCCACTTCAGCAACAATCAACTCACTGTGAGCCCATGTTCTGTTGCTAAAGTCTTTTCATGTTTTAATTTCAGTTTCTCTACCAAGCTTCCCCCTAAACCTCTAGGTGCGGATCAGCTGCACATGAAGCCTGAGTACATTTCGAATTTCAAATGCAAAGAACTTGGGGACAAGACGAGCTTTGCCTTGTGCACCGTACCCTCTCTCTGCTGGACTGTGCCTACTTCTGCGCATGTCTGTGCACTACACCTGCCTCTCACACCAAACACCAAAAGATCTGATTGAAGCTGTCGGTCTCCCGATATTCATTCTTAGAGTTGCTTTCAGCAAGCAAGTCATCCATTGAAGTGGTTGTGAGTTAAAACTGGTCACTGAGGAAACCGAATTCATCAGGTCACTTGTTACCTGAAACTGATAGATGCTTGGGAACCTCCACCAAGAATCCCTTAGGCAGCCCAAGACCTGCTCACATCTGCTTTCTGTCTTTTCCCATACTCTAGAAGTGTCATTTGTACTTATTCTTCATTTAACACGATTTTTGCCAAATCCTTGTGAGGCTCCTATTATTGTTTACTTAATATTTGGATTGAACCTGACTCATGATTCTATTTTCAATCCTGTACTTTAAAGGTAACTTTCAGAGCGTTGTGCAAAAAGGTGGAACAATATGCCACCCTAAAATATATCACTGTGACATAAGGGTTATTTTGAGCTGCAGGTACTTCAATAAGCAGGCAGAGCAACAAAAGCATGGCCACCTTTTCTTCCTAAAAGTAGAAGTGATGCCCAGCCCCCACCGTTGAAGGAATCCTCTCTATGAAAGAAAGAAAGATTCTTTCCACTGAAGACCAGACCTGAGACTGAGGAAAGCCATCTACACAAGCCCAGGTTGGCTCTCTACCCTGAACTGCCTGTCCCTTTGTCTGGTCATAGCCTCCTAATTCCCTGTTTTTTGACCAATCTGGAGAAGGAATGTTCAACTCTCATGCCCTGGAGAAAGGGGCGTCTTTCTTTGTGGATATTCTCATGTTGTGAAAATTTATATTAAATAAATGCATGCACCGTACTCTTTGGGTCAATTTAACTCCCAGGCCCAACCAAACACAATGAAGGGAGAAATAAAATGTTGCCTCTTAAGGAATACTGAGCAAAAAATAAGTACCCGTGAATTTGCAAGACGACCCTGGAAGCTATTTACTTTTTGAGTGCATACAGAAAATACGTCACAATTTGGATAAAAATAAATTGGTTTATCATTAGATTACTTAAATTCATCTCACATTTGTATACACATGGGAGGGCAATTAAAATCAAGAAAATCATGACTATCCACCCAGGGAACTACCACTGGACTAGGAGTTCTCTTCTAACATGGGCAGCACCCTGGTTCCATACCAGGTCACATGAATAGTGTCTCTGGGGCAGTGGGCCACAGGCATGATAGTTTATAGCAGCTTCCAGTTGGTTTGGATTACACCAGCATGGAGGACAGTGCTAAGCCATATTATCCCAGTGACTCATGAAGGCAGGAACCAAGCCAAGGTTGTTGGTTCTTTGCCCCCGCCTCTACAACAATGGCTGCCCCGAATCAATGTTGAGTTCTTCAGTATCCCCAAAGAAGTAGCTGAAAGGGGCTGGTAAGGTCCCTCTTGATTCTGCATTTAAGGCAGGTAAACCCTAAGGACAGAGATGAGCTGACAGATGAGATGGCTCAAGCCTGAAGACCTGAGTTTGCTATCCAGGACCCATGGTGAGCGCATTCAGAGAGGGAGGGAAGGAGAGAGAGGGAGAGAGAGGGAGAGAGAGAGAGAGAGAGAGAGAGAGAGAGAGAGAGAGAGACTAGCTAGGCCGGTGATTCCAGAAGCAGCTTTAGAATGAAGGTGTAGAAATCTTCTTGAATTGTATCTTATAGTTTTTCATTGTCACTCTCATGGGCTGAAGGAGCTCAGATTCTCTGGGACCTAAGTCATCTTACACACTTCCTCTTTATTCTTGAACACAGTGGCTTATCTTCCAGCTACCTTGTTTTCTTTGCTTAAAATGGAATCAAGTTCCAAAGCTGGTGAATGACTCTCTGCAACAGAGTGATGTCCTCCCTGAAAAAGGCCCAGTGAATAACAGCTTGTCTTCAGACTGTAGCCAGTGAATGCATGTTTCTAGGAAGGATTACAGAGGTATTATCAATTATGCCAAACCTTTCTCCCCTCTGGCCTTTACACCCCTCAGCTAAGCACACTTGAACACATACACTGTGTGAGCCTTCATTGTGTTGGCAAGGATGTTTATAAATGTGAGTGTATGTGTTCATCCAAGTAATTTAAAAATAGCCTAAGTGAACTGAGTAAATGAGTGTGTGTCACATCTACCAGGAATATTAGGAAGCAAAGGCCTTTAAATGTCTGACTTAGCTCTGGCATTGTGTCAGGAAAGAACTGGCTCACGTTGCTTGCATAAGTCTTATGTAAGAGATTAGATATGGGGCCTGAGCTGTCCTAGTTACTAAAGTACCAGGAAAGCAAAGCTTGCTATGTTGTTGACATTTGAATGGGCCCCTCCATGCAAGTGTCTTTATTTCTAGACTTCCTGTTAAAGTTATTCTAAAGAAGAAAAGAACAGGGTACTTTTTCTTGGGCTTTCCATAAGCATGTATTTAGAAGGTAAAAAAGCATATTTAGAATTTATGGGATGGGCATCCATTTACAAGCTGGATGGGTATTTACATTTGCTTTCATGTGTGCTACTTAAGAGTTGTAAAAATACAACTTGAGACTGCACATTCCACACATAGATAGTGTAGATTTTCATGCCTCTTATAAACTGGCTCTTCAAAACTTGGAATACAACCTATTGTCCCATTCACTTTGTGTTCTGAAAGGGATCTTCATCAAATCTCACTTTCAGAAAACAGAACCGAAGACCACATACAACTCAGTAGTCTTGACTCTGCTATAAGGCCAAGCTTGGCTCTTCTGAAATGGAAATAAATATATACAAATAAGTACATGTAGAACTGTGCTTGGACAGAGGAAATACCTTGAATTTTAGGGTCACTTTAGCCAGCACCATCAATTAGTTGGTACTTTTTCTTAAGTACCAACTTAAGAAAATTTTCTTAAATTAAGAAAATCTCTTAATTTCTCTAAGCTTATGTTTTCTATCATGAAATGGGAATAGTAAGATCAACTGTAGGGATATTATAACAACTTAGGCTAGATTTATAGCTTTTTTATTATGTGTTGTTACCTGTCTTTATGGGGCTTCGGTCAGATCCAGCTGACTTGCTTGGCTCAGACCTGAGACATGGGGAGTGTGGATTGAGAAACAGCAGGTAAAGATGCTAAGGAAAAGAAAGAAACATGGGATAGAAGTCAGGAGGGTAATCCAGTGAATATTGAACCCCCCAAGTTTATTCTTCAACATTCTCAAATACCCCAACCAAAAAAGGGGAATATAGCAAAGAAACTTCTTTATCGAGATTCAAAGAAGAAACAGACCTTCTTCCTTAATTCTCCAAACATTTGGTAAGCACGCCTTAGTCTAAATTTTTCATTATCTGGCCTTGAGGGTTAAGAGTAACCATACCTCAGAGCAAGTCTTTTGTTCTTTAGATAAGACATCCATGCCTAAAACCAAACATCCTTCAGTAGCCATGCCTTAGACTGTAAGGATAAGTCTTCATTTGTAACTATGAATCTTTCTGCCAGCAGCCGAGTTCTGCCCACTGCCATGTTAGGGCCCCAAGTAACATACAGAGATTAATATTAGGTACAATGCTTCTGGCCAATGACTAGGATTTCTTATCTGCTATCTCTGTCTTAAGTATCAACCATAATTATTAACCTATATATTTTATAAAGACTTATCTGATAGAGGACATAGGCAGCATGTGTCCTCTCTTGTCGGGCTCACATGGTGGTTCCAGAGGAGAGAGGGGGAGGAAGAGGAAGTGAGTGATTTCCTGCTTGTCCCTGCTTATATTCTGAGTCTGCCTGCTATGTCACTTCCTGCCTGGATTGCAAGACTACTCTTTACTACATTTCCCAGAATCCTCCTCGACTCCAAGTCCCACCTAACTTGCTTCCCTATTGGCCAACAGTACTTTATTTAACAACCAATAAGATAAGTATACACAGAAGGACTTTCCCCATCATCTCCTCTTCTCTGTCTAAATAAAAAGAAGGGTTTACCATTAACACAGTAAAATATATAACAAAACGGCTATCAAGTAAGAACTATAGTTACAATATTTAATCCATTAACATTTAGCAAGATTTAAAGAAAATATTTTATCATCTATCTTATCTTTGTGAGTCTAAAATCTTATATGTAGCTTATCTTTTATAATAACTAAAGAAAACTATAACCATAACTATCTGTCTTCAACTCCATCAAAGACCACAGAAGGATAAGAACTAGAACTGACAGAGATACCTCACTACCTGGACAGTCACTCAAAGTTCCTCTGTGATGTTGGGGCATCTATCTGCAGCCTATAGGCCACAGTGTGTCTGGCAGACTTTTCCATGAAGCTGGAACCCTTTAGGACTGTTCATCTTGTTTTGTAAGTTCATCAGTCATTTTCTTGTGGGTCCTGCATGTCCAGTTTATACAGCAACAAACAGTCCAGGCAAGAACAGTTTTTTGCCCAAATGGCTAATCTTGCCATGTTGAAGGCAAACTCCATAACGAATTTATTCCATGCTTACCTTCCTCTCAGATGTAATTGGTGTGCCAGGAGCAGTTGTATCTCACTGCCATGAAAAACCCTAAGCCATTTAAATGCCATATATTCTGTAGGTCTTTGAAAGGTTTGAAGAATCTGTATTTAATTATGCAATACATTTTAAAAGATCAGTATAAACACAATACCTAAACAAGAGGAAAATTTTTCATATAACAAAAGTAACCTTAAATTTGTATCAATAAATGAAAACCCATACCAATGTAAAGTATTCATTCCTATATCCTATTTCCCTTTTTTTCTTTTAAAAAGAGATTGACTGTGATCATTACCATTTATAACCAACATCATTTAAATAAAAACAAACATTTATAAACAATATTTGGGAATTTGGGCGTTGTTCATTCCAAACTGCTTCCTGTTGGTTGTTGTAATGTCCATACATGGGGATCATGATAAAACACAGAAACCTGGCTGTAGTCGTCTATGACTGCATCATCTCAGTTCTTTTGGATGTAGGATCAGTTGGGCCACTGCTGCAGAGGTTCTAGCTTGATCAAACCATATTAGTCTGGAAGGAATCCATAGCTTTACGTTTTCTGTGGAAACATAAGCAAAAACACTTTTTCCAAGTAACCTGTCCTTATATTTAAATTTAGAAGTCAAAGCATTTTTAAAATATATATGTTAGATTAATTTAGCAACATTGATAATCAAATGTCTTTAGCAGTTGTTGTTCTTTCCTCGGCAATCAAACAATTTAAAGACAAAAATATAGCATACAGTATCTAGACTCTGTGTATTTTCCATCTTTACATGGCTTTTTATTATTCTATTTCTTTTACTTCTTTTTTTTTTCTGAGACAGGGTTTCTCTGTGGAAATCCGCCTGCCTCTGCTTCCTTCAGCAAATCCTACCATCGTGTGGCATACCACCGGCCTCTCTTTCTTTCTTTCTTCCTTCCTTGATTGCTTCCTTCCTTCCTTCCTTCCTTCATTCATTCTAATTACTTTATCCTGTTTGTTTTCTCTCACAAGCTTACACATATTTTTAAACACAATGTAAACCTTTAGAGGTTTTTCTTTATCTGAATCTGTATTTACGTTTTTCTGGCTACGTAGTCTTTGATCTGTTAAATAGCATTGCTAAAATTAAAGCTGCGGCTGCTTTAGCCGCTGTCTTTCCAAGATGGTGGGGGTATGTTTATCGCCAGCACTGAGAGCTATGCTCACTGCCTTGGTCTATGCTGCCATCAAGGAGCATGCTGCTGTCTTGGAGATGTGGTCACTGCCACTGCCAGCTGCTCATATACACCCTGCAGTTTTTTCCACTTATGCTGAGTCAGGAAAACTCTCTTAAAGGAGCTGTCAGCCTCTGCTTGTCTCTGGCAAACAGAGACCATCTGAGAAAATTCTGCTACCAAGAAGTTGTGCTTGTCTCTGTTCTTTTGCTTCTAAAATCCCTTTTTAAGCTTTTGTGAAGTTTTTATGTGGAAGTTCGTAAAACTACGTTAGGTCTTATGACTTTAACCTTGGAAGAGTAAGGATAGTTTTGAACTCTCTGACCTTAAGCCAAGATGAAGTGGAGCCATTTTTATGGGCCCCGACAATTATGTTTTGACACAGGACCAGCTTTCAATGATGTTTGGTTCAAGTTTTAACCTTGATTGCAGGATAATGCAGTTGGCATTATCCTGGTTCTTTACTTAGAAAAACTGAATTCATTTAATCTTTATAGCAATTTCTGTGCTGCTATTGCTATTATCCCTCCTTTCTAGATGACACTCAGACCCAAGTCACCTAGGCTACAAATTAGGCAACAAGACATGAACTAAGGTGCATTGCATGCCTCAAAAACATGAAAATGCATGTGTCATCAAGCATGTGTACTTCACTAAGCATTAGGACCTGTATCAAATTCTACCAACCTCACATGTACCTCCCCCTCTCCAAAAAGGAAAGCATACTGTGAAACAGTATGTGTTCCAAGAATTATGATCTCTGCTGATGGCAGAATGTTGCCATTGATGCCATTTACCACTTGATTCGCAATTTTTAGAACTTGAGGTAGAGGGAATTAAGAGCAGATTTGGAGAGCTATTAAAAGCCAGAATAATTAAAACCTGCCTGAAATATCTGCATCGAGAAAAACCATGCTTTACCATAGCTATCAGTGGAAACTATGCTGCAAATGGAATTGGCTTATGTGAATTAGACATCAAGTCCTTGTGATTATTAGGTGAGATGTGGCTAGAGCCACAAAGCTATTCTAGAACCATGTTGTGCATAGAATACAACCAGAATCCCAGCACTCAGCAACCTGAACCAAGAGGATCTTGGGATCAAGGACAGCCTGCTTTACGCAAAGAAATTCTGTCTAGACAAATAAATTTTTCCTGACACCAGTGATGCATGTGGACTTCTAGTCAAGCACCAGAAATGTCAAGTGACATGTAAAGATTCTTTTGTATGGTACTCAGGTAAACTTTAAAAAGTCTATGGTTAGGATGTGGAATTGCTTAGGAATGCCAGGAGGAGAGGGAGGTTTAAGGTAGTGAGGTGTTTTGTGTAAAGTAAAAACCAAAAGGATGAGCAGGGGTCTGTAGTGATAGCTCAGTAGTTGAGAGCACTTGCAGAGAGTAGGATTTTGTCCCCAGAATCCACATGGCTGTTCACACGTCTCTATAACTCTAGTTATAGAGATTCAGCACCCTCATCTAGCCTCCACTTGCACCAGATATGCAAACAGTGCACAGACATAAATACACAGCACTCAAACACATAAACTAAACCTGATTAAAGGTTAGTTACTAAGGTTGCTGATCCAGCCCCAAGCTGTTCCCAAGGTGACAGGATTTCCCTGCAGCCTATGGTTTCTTGGCTCTGCTATTTCCTGAACAATTTCTTTGGGAGAACTAACTCACTTGGTCCTTGCAATTAGTCATTGTGGCTCTGTACCTCCAACATAGACATATACCTAAGTATAACAAGCCATATACAATTCAACACTGTTACTATTATGAATGTAGATTAGGAACATAAATCCTACATAGAAGTCCCTCTAAAAACTCAGCCGACTTTAGTGTACAGATCTCTAAATGCCTTGAAAGAAATATATTAGGATTTTTTTTTTTACATCTATTTGAGTGTTAACTCTTTCAGAATGCTGAAATACATTGGTTGGGACTTCAAGATGACTAGGCCATGGTGCCCCAGAACTTTATTGCATGGAACACAGCAATAGTATTTTACCAAGAGCCACAGCCAACAGAGAAAAGCAAGATTTTATTTGTACATCACTCATGTTTACTCCCAGACTCAAAATTGGATTTCATCAAGCTTCTTTTATAAATACATAAGTAAATAAATTCTGTCCTAGGATCACTGAAGTGGGAATGCTATTTAGATAGGGATTTTACACACTTTTCCAGAAACTCCTTAACTCTTCTGAAAGGTTTTAAAGAACCAGATTACATGTTGTATGAATAAACTAAATTACAACATATACCCTTATGTTTCTAGTGATTACTTTACATTTTCAGACCATAAATGTGTCATATTACTGAGTAATTTTTCAAAGCATAAGGTACTCAGGGGGAGGTTCATTGTTCATAAAATTGTATGTATGTTCTTATTTCAGAAGTCTTAATAACCTTTACCAT